AAACAGGCTATCTTGTATTTCAAGAATGATACCGTGCTTCCTAGAATAGCCTAATTATTACGAAAGAAGGAATGCATATCCATGCCATGCAAGGGCTTTTGGAAATGTTTCACCACCTCTCTCTCTCACACACACACACACACATACACACACACACATGCACACACACACTGATCAAATTGGCAGAATTCCCTGAAGCATTACAAATAATGACAATTATTTTGGCACAAATTGTGAAATTTGTTAAAACCAAGATAAGGTATGGCATTTATGAACAATTGTAATTATAATACATCCCAAAAGATGCAGGAAGCAGATTTTTCTTCATAGTTGAAATATAGCTTTGTGATTTCCCAACTGTGGGTCTTGCACACTTCTCATCTGGAAACCAGACTGTGTCAGATATACACAGAAGGGATGATAACTGACAACCAGACCACATTCCCATATTAAAATAAGCTTCTGTTACTGGGTTCTTCTGAGACACCAAATAGACAAGACAGTTACTAAAATTTAAGGAGAATTCAAAGAAAACAATTCATACTATGAACATGACTGCCTTGTAAATTACCTCTCTAGCAAAATTAACTGCAGCAAGAAAGGATGCTGTCTTTTAAATGAAAGATAATTAATGAAATTCATCAGGTAGATACAAATGCCTCCTGGGATCTTGTAACAGAGCAGAGTACAGATAAGACATATGCCCTCTGTATATACAGTGTGTAACTACCACCAAGACCCTCTGAGCTCCCATTTCCTATCTCAGCACCTGAGCACTGACTGCAAAGATACCAGGCAGGAGCAAATACATTGTTTCACCTCTTAATGAGAATGGAGAGCTCAAACAAGGAAAAGATATGGCTCTTTTGAACTTCCTGATTTATCCCTATAGGTATATGAAAACACAAATTTAAGTAAACAGGGTTATTTCAGTTTTTAAATACAAGGAAGCAACATAATTCAGGTATCTATTACATAGGGTAATTGTTGAGGATTTAATTAGGCAATGCATGTAATTCACTGAGCATGAAGTACCATAGCAACTACTAAGAATGCCTATACCTTCATATATTTGGAAATTTACAGTCTTTATAATTTGAGCCCCAGCAGGCTGGTAAACTGTTCAGACAAATAGCTCAAGTCAAATATTGAACTCTGGTTCCAGTGAAAGCTGTATTTATGGGTTTGCATAAGCATCTTTCTATCTAAAATTAACCTATCTTAACAAGTTTAAATGGTAGAAAAAGTCAGAGGAGATCCTCCAGGAATCGTCCTCTCTCCCACTGCCACTCTTACCTTTCTCCTTCCTACCAAAGAGACAGGCACATCCCTAGTGAATGTGGAGTTCATCTGAGCTTGGCTGCTGGAGGGCAGCAGGGAGTGACCCTGGGGAAAGCAGACAGACAGGAAGCCAGCCTCCCTTGGTTATCGCCATGCTTGTCCATGACAAGCAGTGCCACATCAGATGGCAGCAGAAAGGACAAATCTGGCAGACTCTTGTTAATGTGGAGTGCAATAGAGGGACGATGGTACAAAACTCAAGGGTTACCCTGTGTTAGGGCCTCAGTCACCATCTGCTTACCTGCCAGCACTTTAGGAAGGAATCAGCTTATTATCAGGCCTTGCTTGGGGGTGGGGAGCAAGGGAGTGATCTGTTCTGATGTCAGTGAAGTGAGCAGTGGGTGTATACCTCCCAGGAGCCCAGGTCTATGTGTGAGCACTGTGACTGGGTGGCTCAAGGGTAAAGGTCCCTTCAGGGGCACACCACCGTGGACAACAAAAGGGTAGTGAAGACCACAAGCCTGCCTCCTCCACAGATTAGCTGGGACCCTAGACGAGGCTACTTTAGCAGCCTTTCATTTTATTTGTAAATGAGTAGTTATGGAGGAGGATCAAGAGCTCAGACTCTCCTCTAGCAGCTCCCTTTGCTAAAGCAAATGGTGGGCAGTGGGGGAAGGAGTAGTCTCATACAGAATTGAGTGTTACCATAGTCACCATAGTGAAGTCTGCTAGTTTTTGACGTGAGGCCACTTGGAAATACTAGCAAAACCAAGCAAGCTCAGCAGCCTGGGTTGCTTGGGACAGAACATAAGTAGTTAAAATCCAGGGGCAAGGTCAGGCTGCAGAATCAGGCAAACCTGGGTGTGGGTCCTGGCAATGCCTTTTATTGGCAGCAGGAGCCTGGGCAAGATGCTTCACACCTCTGGCGCTTGCGGTATTTGTGTATAAACATAGGATCGTGCCTATACCAAGGACGCTTGAAAGATGAAAGAGATGTTTATAAAGATCTTAAAACTGCATGGTATTCACTCAATAGGCCTTCAATAAATAGTACCTATTTTATGTTTGCCTTAGTGTTAGAGGGTGTTAAACACAGCAGGGTTTCAAGTTCTATGTAACTGGGAAGCCTGGTAGGATAATGTAAGAAAAATGCATTCAGAGCTGTCTAGAATCACAAACTGGGAGGACAGGTATTAGAAACCATCTACACTGCTCTTTTTGCAAACTATGAAGGAACCCCATGTATGGTAGGAGGAGAAAAAAAAATATTCCCTTTACTTTGTCAAAATATTTTCAGAAAAACTTTAATTTTTCATAAAATCATTGGAGGAAAAACTAGAGAGTTTGTTGAAGAAAACCAGAAATAGAATTTTTAGGTCACTGAGCACAAACATCTTCCAAAGGACGATGGCAAAGATGTTTGTCTTACAGCAGTGTTACCTCGCAAAGGATACTCAATTGCTGGGCAAAGGCAGGAACAGAAATGCTGCTGAGACACACTGAGTGACTGTGACACTGACTATGATCTGTTTTGCTGGAGGAAAGGAGACAGGGAAAGGTGGAGAAGTAGAGTAGGAAATCAGGCCATATCCCATTTCCCATACCTCTCCCGAAAACTCCAAAGAGTGATTATGCTAGAGGGTCTGCTAAACACAAAGGGAAGTGAAGAGGTTTGAAGGGTTTTTTGCTTCCAAAAAGCACGCACTTTTCTCTGTTGAATAATCCATATAAAAACCTTAACTCCCCAGTTGTCCTAGTTTGTGGAAATAGTCTCCATGGCAGTACTACTCTAAATTGTGCAATTTTCCTCATATCAGACTTGTTTTTCTCTATGCCTGGTTACCTGGGAAACCTGAGCTGTACCTCCGTCTCTGATTTCACCCTATCGCCCCATCAACCAGTACTCAAACACAGCTCTTCTAAAGCACTCAGAAGTCAAGATCATGCACTGATGTTTTATAGGCCTGAACTGGGCATTTCAATTGCATAGACCTAAAAAAGTAAACAATCTCATTTCACTGTGATGCAGAGGATGAGGAGACCCAGCTATGTTTCTACTAAGGTAGCCAAAGAACATTCACATGAAGGGACAAAGGGAGATGAACTGGCAAGAGTTGGGGCAGTATTTGAAAGGAAGACGCACTTGTTATCACACAGAATACAGGCGCCAGTGAATTGACTGGAGATTTGCTCAGATGTCTTCAGAAAATAAATAATGTATTTCAGCACCACTGAAGTGCTGAAATAGGCTTTTTTTATTCTCACTAGTGTGAAGAGTTAGATGGAAGTCACTCCCAGGAATAGTAAAAGACCTTCCCTGAGGACAATCATGATGCAAGAAGAGGGACATTTATTTTTAAGGCAACAGGAATAAATTTCATTGTCCTTTTCAGAGGAGAGCAAGAATTATACAAGGTGGCCAACAAGTCTGGAAATGAGGCAAATCCTTAATAAATGGTTTACGGGTATTACATTATAATAAATGACAAAGTAGTATTATCTATACTTCTAGACTTAATGGCCACTCCATAGAAAGCATCTTTGGAATAGGAAAAAAAAAATTAAGAATTTGTTTTCCCATAACTGTAAAACTGTCATACTCGGTATGGACACAGCCAGTACAATGTTTTCTCTACCCTATAGGATCCATCCACCTCCATTGCCAACTGTTTCTAATATTCTTGGGTCCCTTATAGGAGAAAGACACTATCAGCATCAATATTTAGCAGCATTTTCAAAATACTTTTTTTTTACTTGAATAAAAAGCTAAACTACTTTTTTAGCCTAGTAATTCCATGTGGTCTTACAACTTCTATACATAACATAGAATCTTTTAACATTTATGTAGGTAACTATTTCTTTCTTTCTTTTTTTTTTTTGGTTTCCCAAAAAAGTTTTGATGATTTTATCTTTCCACAACAAAAGGGAGGAGAGGTATCAACCCATGAGAGTCAGACCAGCAGTTTAAGTAGACCCTCCACGTATTCAGTACCTGGTGCATGAGTGACTCAACATCGTCCCCTAGCTCTCAGCTCTCGAAAAGGAATTTGAGAGGGATAAAAGCAGTAAGTATGCATATTACATTATAGCCTAGGAAGGGAAAACACATGTAAAAAAAGAAAATAGTCTAATAAAAATAGAAGCCAAATCCTTTCATTCCAGGATGTCTGAAAGAGAGAGAGTCTATGGAGCATGGACGCAGAAAACAAGGTGTCACTCCTTGACCGAAAAAATGGATTGTAGACAGTCACTTCAGGCCAGAGGATCGGCCACTGAGAGCAGTTGGCTTCATCCCACGGTCACCAGGAAGGCATGGACCAGAGTTTGGAACAGGCCTGGGCTGCAGCCCTTGGCATTCTCAGGCCTCCTGGTATGATGGTTCAACAGCCTTTGGGAGATGGGGGAACCAGAGGCCACCACTACCACATAACAAGGCTACTACGGAAACACCGTGACTGTCAGAAATCAGCTAGAGTTTGCGTTACACACCCTGTGAAATCCAGCCTGTACTTGCTTTCTTATGAAGGGCTTGAGACATATGCAAAGACATCTTAAACATGTGTACATGTGCATGATCCTCCCTTTGCAAGGCAGAGAAGAGCCTCTTCATTAACGCTACTCATTAGTTTCCATATCAGATCACCATTTAAACTAGAAAAGATGCTGCAGGCTATCTCAGCTAGCTTCTAATTTGGACATGGCACCAATACTACACATACAGCTGAATAAAGGACGGTATCTTCCTGATTCTTCCATTGGGCCGTCTCAGTATGCTTCTTTGGACTGAATAGGTGTGATCTTGTTCGAGAAAAGCGAGTAAACATAAGGCCAGATTTTGTTAGTCTCTGTCCCAGAAAATTGGTGGAGCACTCCTCGGCTCCTGAAAAACAAAGTCAAACATGTAAGGCATTTTGTGAAGATCTCAGGTACAAAGCAGGCATTATCTCACGGTCTATATCACACACTGCTAAGCCCCATCACATGTGTGGACACTCCCACTAGTAGACCTAAATAAAGCCATAGTTTTTGCAATTCTGGCATGCTTGCCATGATGCCACCTTTTCTTCTCCCCTTTAAACATGTCAGAGAATATCATTATATGGACAATCCGAAATTTGCTTCAATATACATTTTTGACAAGCAAAAATCATCAGCAAATTTTGGTACTCTAAAACCCTGATGACTTACAGTGGACTGTGAGACACAGGATATATCATAATACAACCAGGAGAACTTCTAATCTAATGGCTGCTAAATTATTTAGGGGCTACATGGCCAGAAACTGATTATAGCAGAGGCTATAAACTATGTGCTGAATGCTGTCCACATATGGGTTTTGTTCGGCTTGCATGCTGTTAAAAATTTTTTAAATTTGTTACCAGTATAAAAAATAGGGACTATTTTCTCCTCACGGATAGCCAGATTTCTGCTTCTCTTGAAAAACAGAGATCACTGGCCCCCTTGGGTCTGAGTGCCCCTGTGGTGATAACCGTCTGGGGCAGCACAGGAGCTGTCCGGTTCAGCTGCCAGCCTACTGCCCAGCCTGACACAGCCCCCACCAGGCTGGATGCTCATTTCCACGACCTGCGTGGCCCATGGAGCCACCTGAATTTGCAACCCGTAGTTCATAGGTTTAGCTTTTCTTTGTTAAACTCCCTCCAGACACATCTAGGGAAAGTCCCATCTAATCTCTCTAAATCAGATATTTACATGGGGGAGTGTCAAAGTGTAAACCATTATTTCTGCCTTTTAAAAAGAAAAATGAAAATATTTCTAGATGCAATTTTACAACCACACAGAAGTGATCAGGTTCCAATATTTGTGTTACAAGAATTCCAGCATGGAAGTACTGGACTTTACCTCCCATGTATAACTCCAGTATTTCATCTGACTTCTGGGGAGATATTGGGCCTTTAGGATTTATCTAGCTTAAAGAAACACTAGCCCACCTCTGCCCAATGCCCTTCCCACTAGGAGCCACACCTTTCTAATTGGCAGTCTACCATAAAAATATTGACACACACTCACTTGTATAATTCAATGACTGGCTTTGCCACATCCTTGTACTGTCTTAGCCTGGCAGCAACTGCTTCAGGTTTATCATCTTCCTGCTGGACTAATGGTTCACCAGTGATGTCATCAATCCCCTACAAGTATTAGAGAAACCAGTTACTATGGCCAGCAGCTTGGCCATCCCACAGACAAAAACTCTCCTGTGCAAAACCATGTATTCAGCTCTGATGCCTACCACATGATGAATTAGGCCCAGGTGAGAATGCTAATGGTGAAGGTAGTTGAAAAAGAAATAATACTCTTAATGGTATATCAACCTAACTTCATGAGGTTTGACATTAAATCTTGATTGATTTCTCAGATCTTTCCAAACATTTTCCAGTGCCACTGTCACTTCAGCTTAAAATTCCATGCTGCCTCCTCTAACAACAAACAACATTTAGACAATGTCAATCTGACCCCTAAATAGTCCTAAAACTGCCTTTTTCCCTAATCCCTGAGTTATTGATATGGAAAATAAAATGTCTCAAAGAACCAGCTAGTTTATATAGGAATATCACTAATCTAGAAGAGGGTATCTCAGTCCTTTCTCTGCTAGCTTTCAAAATTCTATCATGTAGGTTTTCTGAGATTAACCTCAGGTTATTTTACTAGATCAAATAATGACTTATCTAAAGGTAGGTTAAAACAGGCGTGAATCATATATGCCCATGATAATCAAGAACAAACATTCTGAGAACTGAAAAATTGCATTAAAAAAAACCTGATTTTCAATGTATTTTAATCTCCTCAGGAACCATATCTACCAATAAATAGCAAAATGGACAGATAAGAATCTTGCTTCCTATGTGCATGACTATTATCCACTAGGGGAGACAGTTACAAGAAATAAATCTCTCAAAAGGCAGGCTAGAGCGGAACCAAAAGGCTCAGGCAACTCAATTGGATAATCAGAAACCAGCTATAAATTTGAAATGCACTAAAATTCCATTACAGTTCAGGGCCCTGGGTATATAACTTATATTTATGATTTATTGGTTAGCCACATAATTACCACATGTGTGTTCCATGGCTGTTACCCTGACCCAACAGGAGAGATGGGGATGGGAAAAGGCTGTATATCACCTATATTTCTTCCTCCTTTTTTTTTTACTTTAAGCTGCAAAGCTTAGAAGAGTGAAACTTCTTTTTCCAGGACTTCAGAGCACCAGCAAATCCAGCAACTGCTTCCAGAAAGAACGGAATGATACTAGGACAATAGTATCCCTCTTTCTGGGAGAGCTCGGCCACACAGCAGCTAGTTCACTTGGCCAAGACTAGCACTTTCACTGCTGTCTCTAGAAGTAGCACTGTAATTGCAGGTGTTCTTTTAGGGATACTCCAACCTTTGGAAAGCCACTCAGTTTTAAAGCTTCTCAAATTTTGTAAGAACCTTTGCATCAGCAGTCCAGGCAGTGTCAAAATGTGAAGCATTTGTGGGCTTCATTGTATATTCAGAACTCTCTTTCCCTCCCTATCCATTTTTTCCTCCTAAGCTAGCTTCTTGGGAGGGAAAAGAGGAAGGGACCCAATAAAGGAATTCCAGTATTTACATTTAAAAAAGAAGACTTCAAAAGGTGACTAGTGTTTAACCCAAACAAACAGAGTCACTGGAACTTCACTGTACCAGGGCACCCAGAAGCTGGGAAGGCATCCTTACCCTCTTCAAGTTAGTTTTCTGCAGTAATCACTGACTGTCTATATTTGAGTCTAACCTATTCTATAGATATTAATTCAACAAAACGCAATTGTCACCCCTTGTCATCTTTCACACTTGGATGATAACAAGTAATACTATCTACCACCAAATAACTAGACTTAAGAATTATCATATTAAACTAATTCATGTCTTTGCCAGAAAGAATAGTAACTCTTGAAATGAATTTAATTTTAAAAGTTTCACTAAACATATACCTGTATGTGTATTTATTTTATGTAAATGTGTAGCTATTTTATTTTGAACTTTTTTATTCCTTTAGCTCTCCCGAGTCCTTTTACCTTACTCCCACCAGTCACATGATCCTAGCTCTTAATTCAGTCCCAGCCCCATCCAGTTTGCCAGCCTAGCATATATTTTATATCTTTATCTCTACTTTTACAGAGAGAGCATATATACACACAAAAAATAATATATGTAAAAAGGGATGGTCACTGTTTTACAAAAAAGTTATCACTGCACTATTGACTTTCATATTCAACACCTAGAGGAACTATTTCTCCAGGTCAAAGAGTATAGCACTAGATCATTCTTTTCACTGACTACATAATATTCCAAGTTGTAGATATTCTCAAATCTATTTAATCATTCCCTATAGATGAACACTCATTTTATTTTCAGATTTTGTTTTGTTTTTCCCAATACAAAGAACACTGAAACAAGAATCACTGTGTATATGACCTTATCTGCTAGTGCTTTCATTTCCATAGCCTCTACTTCCAGAGGTGGGGTAAATGAAACATGTATTTAAAAAATTTAATGAACATTACAAAGTTGCTTTTTAAAAAAATATTACTATTTTATATACCATTTTCCCCAGACCCCCACCAGCAATAGATGTTATAAACTTTAATTTGCATTCCTTGACTACTAGTGAATGAGAATCTTTAAATATTTATCAGCCCTGTAGATTTGCTCTGTTTTGAATAATCTATTCATATCCTTTACCCACTTTTCAACTGAAATGTTTTGCTTCTTTCTTGTCAATCTGTGAAAGTACTCAGTATATTCTTACTGGTACATGAGGTGGATTGAAGTCCAGGTTGTACACCCTTCCACTCAGGGGGTGAATCCAACGTCGGCTGAGACGATCTTTGAGTGTTTCAAATGGAATGTTCAAAGTGATCACTAGATCCAGGTCACACATTTTGTCCAGGGCTTCAGCCTGAATTAATGTCCTAGGAAAACCTAAATGTCAAAAACAAAACACATCAGATGTTAAGACATTTCTCAATTCTAACTAGTCACTAAAATATTTCAGTGACAGAATAATCAAATCTGCATATATACCACCCAGAAAGGAACTTTAATTAGGAATCTTATCTACCACCATAAATTTAGTGTTAGAAGAAACTATGCTACTTTATATCCTAGCTTCAGCATTGGAATATTCAAAGATTAAGGAGTCATGTGATAAAAGCACAAAGTGTACTAAACTGAAAATCACAAGACTAGTCCCAGCTTTGCTCTTAACTGTGTGACCTTGGACAAGTTACATGATCTTCATTTCCTCTTCTGTTAAACAAAGGGACAAAAATTATATTTGTGTCTTTTAACTTCAACAGTTTCTGAATATATTATTTTTAGGCTACCAAAAATTTTTTGTATGTATATATATGAATATGTATACATATATTTTACATATACACATTCACATGTGTATATACAAAATAATAGAGTTTATTTTTTTTTTGAGAGGGCATCTCTCATATTTATTGATCAAATGGTTGTTAACAATAAAATTCTGTATAGGGGACTCAATGCTCAATGTACAATCATTAATCCACCCCAAGCCTAATTCTCATCAGTCTCCAATCTTCTGAAGCATAACGAACAAGTTCTTACATCGTGAATAAGTTCTTACATGGTGAACAGTACAGGGGCAGTCATCACAGAAACTTTCACACATTATGAACTATAAACAATCAAGTGAAATAAGAATATTTGTTTGATTTTTATACTTGATTTATATGTGAATCCCACATTTCTCCCTGATTACTATTATTTTTTTTAAATAAACTGCTGAAGTGGTAGGTAGATGCAAGATAAAGGTAGAAAACATAGTTTAGTGCTGTAAGAGAGCAAATTTAGATGATCAGGCGTGTGCCTGTAGACTAAGTGTTAATCCAAACTAGACAAG